AAATCAATACTCAGGACATGAAGCACTGACACTATATGCATATACAAACATGAATCATCAAACATACAATACTCGTACTACTCGTGTTTCAGTTGAAAAAAAATAATAAAAAAATTTCACTTCCTTCCATTTAAAATTAGCATACAAGCGACTTGAATTGTTATTCTAAACTAGGTTCATAGCTCCGCGCAAGCGCGGAGCCGGAGACAGTGATGATGCATTATGATGTTTTATAGATGGGATTTTGTCATTTTTTTGGACATTTTTTTGTTTGGGGTTTAACCGAAAACCCGATTGAATTGAGTTGGTATATGAATGAGTGAAAATTCATAGGCTTTAAAATATTCATATATTATTTTAGTAATGATTTTCTCGAATATTTGTGTTATTAGTGCTTTTATGTCTAGGATGAGTGATTTATTATATTGTTATTGTCTAATTTGTAGGTTGGTAGTATATTATTGTTAAATAGTGAATTAGCATTTAAAAAAATAAGATTTTATTAAATTATACAAAGAAATATAGTTTAATAGATTGAAGAGAAAAAGATGAAACATGTTTGTTAAGGGGTTGTGTGGAATGTTTAGAGATCAATATTTATTAGTGAGTAAAGAATTGTTTTTTATTTACAGATAGAGTGTTTGACGAATTTATATGTGTTCGTATTTCTACATTTTTTTATGATTTAATTGGATCTTAATGTTTTTAGTGAGTTAATAACCATATGTAACCAAATATAGGTATTTGTTACTATACAACTATAATATGGGAACAAAGAAGAAATAATTTGGTTATTCAAAAAGAAATATAGTTTGTTGTTTTCAATGTGGCATGACATGTTTTGAAAATATATAACTGTAGTTTAATAAATGCTAAGGCTTCGTATAATTATATACATGTATGACTAAGATAGTTATTTTTTTTATATTTGTCAAAAATATTTTGTGGTAGTTTAAAAATGGGAATGGTAGATTAAAATTTTTAGTCGTATAGGATTATATTCGAACACAATGAAAATGTAGTAGCTGGGTTTTAAATAATTGGACTTGAAATTTGATGAGTCTTGAGTCTCAATTTAGATCTGAAACTGGATTGTTTACTCGCCCTTTTTGTTTCTCCTCGTCATCTTCAGTAGTGTGACAAGCTCTTGTGATTCTTGGTCTGATTGTGTTTTTAGTGTGTCATTTTGTGAAATTATGGTATTTCTATAGCAACATGGAAGAGAGATTAGCTCACCTTAGTTAAGGCTGTCTCCATCGCATTCCTTACTCAGTGAACCTCTGTTGATTCGGTGTTCTCGGAACCTGCAATAAGAAGGTTTGAATTTGTTGTATGACTTTATTTCTATTATTATAAGTTTCGTTTACTAAAACCCATACTGAATAATTTGAGATTCTATATGTTAATTTGGTTGGTATGGCTTATGTTTACTTTAACATGACAGAGAGACTTGAAGGCTGCATGACGGATGCCGGTGACGTTAGTTTTAGGAACTGGAGAAGGAAAGAGAGACATTTTCTAGAAGATGGTTAAAGTTAAGAGGAATAGATAAGTTTTGTGGAGATACACATAGGGTTCATCAAAGATAAGAATCATATATATATGATTTACAGAGGGGCTACAAAGCAGGAACATTTATGATCAAGCGATGTAAGATGGGGAGATGAAAAGTTCACTGGTGCAAAAAATAGATTACGAACAGACACACGACGCAGCTCTATAACTCAGACCTGTATGAGACGATGGTGAAATGAATCTTAACTCATTTTAAACATTAACGGTTTACAATATGGGAAAACTGTAACTGTTGTAAACTTGAGGATTTTCTTCATATAATATGATGAAGCCCAATTAAAAATGAAACTGATAATACACTTCCAGGCCCGAACTTTAAAGGAGGCCATAGATGCAAAGGCTTCCGGTTAAATATATATTAGTTTCGGCCATCAATGTACAAGTTATCATGTAGTTTAGTGGTATGAATGTTAGTGTTTGATTCTTAATAACCCGGGTTCGAATCATATGTTTGACATTTTTTCACATTTTTAAAGTGAGACCCACCTAATGCTGATGTGGCGCATTGAGGAGTCTTGAAATGCAACTATTATAATATAGATTGTAACATACCCAAAAAAAAATTAATTGCCAAACATATTCAAAATAACGAAAGCAAACTAGCAAGCTTCTAAAACAGAACAAACATATACAAAACCAAGTTGAAAATGATAAAAACAGAACAAACAAAAGACAAGCTTCCATCTACAACAAGTTGACAATATATGATTAAATATACAACACGTAAAGAAAGAAATCAGTTACTGACACTCCAAAAAGAAAAAAACATAGGAAGTTCTTTTATTGACTAACACATAAACACAAGTACGACAATTTAAGAAACAAGACACTACATATGTAAAAAAAAACTACTTGAAATACAAAGACACTTACGAACCCAAAATAACAGAAATTAATACTAATTAATCAAGTGCAAAACTGAAGGAGACTACCTCTGAGTTTACTATTGACGTCTTTGAGGAAGGAGATGAATACTTTTCGATGGATTTCTTTCTCCATCTCAAACGCTTATATAAGAGAGGATATTCTAGGGTTTACAGCTTGCAGAAGAGTAGATTCGAAGAGGATAACAGTTAAGAACGGATTTCGGGTTCGGGGATTTGGGGAGATTTAGATCTTTCAAGAGAAAAGGGTGAGATTTTCTGGATTTGTGCAAATCCTCAATCGAAAGAAGGGGATACGTAGAAGATAAGGGATTTTTTTCTCGGGTATACTTAAAACCCGATTGGATCTTGGTATTTAACCTGATCCGGTCCAAAACCCACAATACCAAATAATCAGGCCCATTCGGTTTTCAGGCGAGATCCGAACCTGGTCCGACCCGGTTTTATCGGTGCGGGTTCGGTACGGGTCATCGGTTCCGGATTATTTGCCCTGGCCTAGGTACAAGGGTACAAGCGGCACAAGCTAACACGTTCCTCAACGTCATCATAGCCTGACGAACATAAAAACCAACAACTTGCTCGACATACAACGATCTCAACACGAGATTTCGGGTCAGCAATAGTTCGGTAAACTTATGTACAAGGCACGAGTTTAAATTGAACTTGCTTTTTATTAGGCACGAGATTGCAATCGACTCGCTTATTGTTAGACACGAGTTTACAAAAACTCATCCTTGGCTAGGTACGAGTTTACATAATCTCTCCTTCTACTAAACACGAGTTCAGTAAACTCTCCTTTGTCTCGGCATGAGTCTAGTAAACTTGTCTTTCATTAAGCACGAGGTCAAAGCAAACTCGCCTTTTACTAGACACAAGTTCAAAGTAAACTCGCCTAAACCGTCACAAACATGAATGTGTCTAGTTCATTGTTTAATAAGCCATATTCATAAATTTCACAGAGATCAACTTCGTCTCTCTCTATGAACTTGGGAGGACTTACTGTTGGGGGTGGATTTACATCCTCCTGCAAGGCCCATTAGAAAATGAATTATGCCTATTTTAGTAGGAAGCCCTAGGTTCCATCCTTGTATAAATTAAGAGACATTTCTCTTTAGCAAGGGATCTTTTCTCCTCTTTTAGACTATGAACACTTCTTAGAGATTTATAGATTCACTTTACACTTGTATTCACTCAATGTAATGAATCTATTATCAATAAAATCTCTTTGATGCTCTACTTCTCATTTGATGTATATGTTTGATTTCTCCTAACCCTCAAAAATTTAAGAATCCAATTTTTAAATCTTTTATTGTTATGAATCCGAACAATGCACCATTTTCGGTTTAAACATTTATCATAATTGATTACCACTTAGTAATTATTACTATGTTTTTAATAACCGCTATTAACTAATGAACAAAACTTCTCAAATCTCGTAATTTGTATCCATCATTCTAGCTTCCCAGTCTAAAGGTGAAAGATCTTACTTCCAGTGACGTTTTCACATTCTTAATTTCCATTCACTTTTGTTATACAGAAATGAAGAGTGTCATGTAGAGTATATATAATGTTAGGAATTAAATCCTTATATCAATTAACTCCTTTACTTAACTTACGTTCTATAGGTCTTCGATACCTACAACAAACCAAGCAGTTAATTACACATCTTCTCATTGATATCAAGAGCCCAGATCAAACCACATAAGATGCCTTTTAGTCTCTCATGTCTCGACACATGCACGAAGGATACTATCAAGAAGGAATAATGAACTTGAAATGTAAAAACATAGCAATTATAAAACAGAACTCCTTTATATTAAAAAATGAAATAAAAGAGGCTTATATGTTTGTATTCATTAATGAACCATCCGTGATCAATGGATATAAAATAAACTATGCAGCATCTAAAATATAATACTGCCAGGAAAGGGTAGAACAGGATTCCCCATTATGAGTCACGATGTTTCGTAACCGTTATTTTTGTGATGTATTTGGTGTATGGCTCTATTGGTGATATACCGAACTTCGAATATAGCATAATGGAACATATTTAATGATGTATATATATAGTAATGTCCCTGCATGCTGTTTCATAACTTATATTCAGTTATGATAGTTTGTATAGGTGGGTGAGTTGTAGAAGACCAAAACGTAAGACTCGCCACACACAGAAGTGACTAGTGGTAGATAGATTTCCGGGAGATCCGGGTTCGAAGCAATTCATGACACGAAACTTGTTTGGCTTTGCGGATATGCGATCATGTTTTGGGTCTCATTTCATAAATTTGAGAGAAGTTTCATCTGTGAGTTACAACTCATCTTCGAGATTAGTAATTTCATAGGTTCAGGACACCAATATTTAGAAAACCCATAAAACTAAAAATACATGCATAGAGGAAGTGATATTTTGGCCTTTACCCACTAAAATCTGTAATGATAACAGTTTGGAATCATTTGCTATTTGTACTCAAGAAACTACATAAAAATAGGGTTACTTATTAAGATATTAAAAGCATACGTATTTATTACGAAAACGCTTTGTAAACTGTAGTCATGCAGCCTTTATTACAAACACTCATAACAAGGATGCTTTTAATACATAGAGCCAAAGATGAAACAAAGCACAATCAAACAACATACCCCACTACACATATCTCTCTCTCTCTCTCTTTGGAGGTATCTTAAAATCAGACAAAAGAAACGGCCCAATTTTGTAATTTTGAGGTTTTCTGGACCACATTTCTAATACAGTAACGCATCAGAAGATGCCATGAGAGGCTGGTTCACATAAAACATGTTCATCTGGTTCACGAGAAAATCATCAGGCTCTGGACTAGACAGAGAGTTCGGACAAATCCCATTGGTATTATCGAGGAACTCGATGATGTCACTCAGAGATTCTAGCCTGTGGTTGAGTTCATCAAGCTGAGCTCTGAGAACAGAGTTCTCTGCTTCGACGGTTAAGTAGTGCTGCGTCGTGATGCTGACACTTGTCAAGATCTCGTTGTTCTCTTTCTTAAGCTGGTTAACCTGAGCCGTTAGATCGTCTAGGAGCTTCTGTTTCTTCATCCTCGATCTCCTCGCTGATTCACGGTTCGAGAGCATCCTCTTCCGCTTCCTCTGCTCCATGAGACTCTCCTCCGATCCTGACGGCGAAGTTGTTCCCGAAGACGACGGTTCCATTTAGTAAACACACAAACAAAGAAACCCTTTTCTTTACGAGAAGACAAATAAAGCAGGACAGGACCCAGATCGATGACGTAACGAACAAGAAACAAAAGAAAGACTTAAAAACTAGGGTTTGATTTAGTTATATAATATATATGGAAGAATAAAAACTAGAGATTAAAACTAAGAGACGTAGTAAAGCCAGTAAAGGAAGACAACAGAGAAGGATTGAACGAGATGGGTCCTGCGCCTGATGGTGGAGTTCAGCATAAACCCAGAGAGGAAGATCTCACTGAGTATGATCGGAGACATGTGTCTCAATGACCAACAACTGCTGATTAAGCATCAATGGTTTTGTTCTAATGCTTTTTTTTTCTTTGATAGATTAATCTCACAAAAGTTGAGATCTTTGAACAACAAATAAACCAAGAGAAGAACAAGAAGAAGAAGAAGAGGCGAAAGAGAGAAGGGGAGGTCTGAATGGTTTAGGAGAATGAATTTATAGAAGAAAAATCAAGAAAAGCGTTTTAAGTGCTTGAGCAACATTTGTTGTTTGGAATCTATTCGGGTGAAGAAGATTCTTTATTTTTTTTTCATTACTTCTTTTCACTGACATTTTTAAGTACCCTTTAATAAATATTTACAGAACTACTCACTGAGTTTTATAATAATTGTCACTTTTAAATTTTGCACACGTACTAAAAAATCATTCAAAAATTATATTTTATTCCTTGTTTATGCACTAAATAAATTTTTATTTTTAATTAATAAATTAAAATAGTAGGGATAAAATGATTTTTTAATTTAAAATTTACATTAAAAATATAAAATAACATTTTTATAACACAAAAATAAAATTTTACAACGATATTCTTTGCAAAACAGGAGTATACAAGAGTATCTACATAAATCTGCAACATTTGAAGAGAAAATAGACGAAATGATTCTAGTTGATTGATTTCTATTGACAAAATTTTATAAAACTATACCAAAATTATATTTATTTTATTTAGTGATTTAAGGAGAAACTTGAACGAAAAGCTCATTAGACGTGTCACAAGCTTACAAAATATCACTTGAGAAAGTTTATGTTAAATAGCAGAAACTATCACTTCGTAAGAATACAAAAGCTTTTTAATTTTATCAAATCATGCATTAATTAATTAGATATTATACATAATGCATTTAACAGGTAATCCAAAATGATGAAATATTCCAAAAAATGTCAGTAAATAATTTTTTTTTGTATATGTAATTTTATTGATCTAAATGTTACACCCTCCGCTCTTAAAGAATATTATGTTTTAGAGATGTTTTGAAAATATTATTTTATTTTAATAATTATAACTTTTAAAAATCTAATTGTGTTTATTAAAAAATTTATTGGTTAAAAATTATGGAGATAATTAATTAAGCAAATTAGTGCATTAATAATTAAAATTTTATATCTTTTTGATATTTGTGAAAATTTTAGAACATATATTTTGCTTAGAACAGAGGAAGTAAAAAGATGGCTAGACCCTAGTACTATAAACATCATTTGGTACCAATGCATGTTTTACACATAGGGGTTTGATTTGTTAAAGTGAAACCAAAACTAAATATATTGACCGTTCAAAATTTATAAACTGATGTAGATATCTCAAAGACAGCGAAGCACACACAAAAACTAAAAAAATACATAGTTAAGCTTGCCTAATTTTTCTTTTGTTTGTTTTAGAGCATTTCTAATGGTTTAATTCATGTTTTTCTTCAAAATATGATTTTTTTTTTTAAAAATGAATAAACATGTTCTCTAATGGTTTGATTCATTTTTGCCTTTTAAAAAGAATATATTTAATATATTCTATTATCACTTAATAATTAGTTACAAATATCACCTTAAATTATACTCCCTCCGTTTCATTTTAATTGTCATTCTAGGTTTTTACACACAGATTAAGAAAACATTTAATTTTACATATTTTCAAGATAAAAACACAATTATCTATACACCTAACCACTTTTCAACCAATAGAAAAATATAATATCATATAAAACTAATAAATTTTGCCTCGAAACTCTAAAACGACATTTATTTTGAAACGAAATTTTTTCTCTAGAATGACAATTATTTTGAAACGGAGGGAGTATAATTTAACCAAATTATTTTATTAATAGTAACCCAACACAATAATATATATTAAAAGTAAAACATTGTTTTATGATATAATTATTACTCATAACATAAATAAAGTATGTTAGATTTATAAAGAAACGCTTAATACATATATCTCTTAAGCCATTAACCAAAACATTTTAGAACGAAAATGAGTTTATTTTATATTCTTCCAAAATCAAATATAGAATTCTCAGAAACTAATATTTTCATGATTTTCCTTATTAGTATTTAATTAAATAAAAATACTAATATAAACGTTGAAATTAATCGGGTAACATTGATATTTATAATTTATTTAAGTATAAACTAACAATAAATTAAAACTAAAAAAAATTGTAAAAAGAAAATCATTTTTAAAATGAAGAATTGAACAGTATTTTTTAAAATTTGAAGAAATATTGTTCAATTCTTCAAAATATGATCAAACTTACCATTATAACAAAAGATAAAATAAAAAGTGGAAAATGAAGTAATGGTCTTTGTATGATTTCTTAGAAAGAACGACAATCAAAAACAAAAGCACGGAATCTTTGTCAGTGTAAATGAATACTTTTCTTTCTTTTCTCTTTTTTTGTATCAGTAAAAGTAAAAATTAAAGATGAAAAAGCATAACTTGGTTAATTATTCAATTTTCTTTAATAAATCACTTATCATGTAACGACAAAAAGAAGATGAAATATAAAAATATTCGTAGTATGTACAATTTTTTTTAACCACTGAAGCCAGAATCTGTCTGGAAAATCTGTGAACCATTAATTAAAATATCAAACACCACCACCAACACTGACTAAAATAACACAAAATGTAATATAAACAAATGAAAAGCCTGAAATAAAGATTTAAAAAAGATATTAGAAACACAAAGGAATCTATGCTTAGAGTAAAATGAGAAGAACATGTGTAAGTAGGCAGCAGAAGATGAGAAAAAAGTGAGAGGGACATGTGAGGTTGGGAAGAGAAGTCTCCAGACTCAACACAGCTGTTTCTTTTCTTAAATTTATATACGTTTTATTTAATTATTCAGATGCTTATAGTGCTTTCAGGGATGGTATGTTCCCGATATTTTATAACGTGAAATCAACTATTTTGTGTTGGAGAATAACATCAGGACTAAAACTGGTACATGCTTGTATAGTTATGATTTAGTATATGATTATTAATATATATTCACCGTCTTAATCATCATGATATACTACCTCACAAATATATTTCAACCGTCTTAATCATAATTCATGAATGGTATATTACCTCACAAAATTGTAAAGTACTTGTAAAGTTGTCTAAGGAAAAAAACAATTTTGTACCAAAAACTTAAAAGGAAAAATCAATTTTACGATCAAATCATTAACATCACTTTACTTTTAAAAATATCTTGGAAAACTGTGGAAGAGATCCACTGATCCAGCCCACTTCCCAAAAACGATGCATGAATTTCACCAAAGTAGATTCACTCAACATGCTTTTTAGTCTAAAACATACTTATAAATAAATCAAAATATGTATCTACACACCAGGGAACCTAAAAAATAAGGGACAATTGCATAAATACCATTTTTGTGATACCACAATTCAACTTTACCACAATTCAAGGGACATTTTCATAAATACCTAGAACAATCATCAATAAATGACACAATTACCCCAACCAGATCTATCGTCTCCTCCATCACCATCGTCGACGACACAGTTCACCTCTACGACCTCCCTTCGTTATCCTCCCTCGACTCCCTCCTCGACCACAACCACACAGCTTCAATCACTGTCCTCTCCTTCTACACTCCCTCTTCCCTCTCAGTCTCATCTCCGCCGCCGCCGATAACTCTGTCGCGATCTTTGATCCCTATTTTCAAGGAGCTCTATCAGAAGAGCATAGTTTACGGAGTCTCATGGAAACCGCATTCCTCTTCTCTGTCTCTCTTTCTACCTCTGCTTTTCATTCTTTTTTTTTTCTTCTTCTCGAGAGAGGTCCCTTTTAAGATCTCCCTTCATGGTTTGTATCCGCTTGGCGTTTCAATTTGATTCTTTAGGTAATGTTTCCCCTTTCCTTTTTCCTCACCTAAAACATATTCACAATTAGGGTTTTCAAAAACGTTTGTAAAGATGGCATTTTTATTTGAGACCTGGATGAATGATCTGATTGTGTGGCAGAGTTTTTTTTATGATAGAATCAATTTCTGTGATTATTGTGTTGAATTGACTTTAAATTTGGTAGCTTTTGGATTGGTTTCAGATGTGTATCGTATTAGTTTCTCCTCATTAGAACTTAATCTGTCATCTGCTCTCCTGATGTTAAGATTTTGAATTCTTGTATTAGCAGAAACAGATACATACCCAGCAAGAATCCTACTTTTACTTGTTATACTAGATGATTATGTTACTTAACATCAGGATGGTATAATGTATATGAATGTTTTTGTAGCATCAATGTGGTATTATCGACTTTTGAGGGACAAACTGCAGTGAACAGACAAAGGATGGTCTACAAAGCCATTTGGGAGGAGCTTCAGAACGTTGTTCACGCCGTTGATCAAATGACAACAAATACTCCTTCTGAAGTTTAAAGTTTTCTTTCTAAACACTAAAAGCATGAATATCTATTATTTGATTGGCAGACAAGGCTACTTGTTTTTATCAAAAACGAATTTGAAATGAAGTTTTTGGATGTTCTTTGCTGTTTCTGTTGTGTTGATGTTCTAAGCATTTGTGTGATTCTCATGCTCATACAACAGTCCGTTTGATCAGGTTTTGTTTGTATCTTAGCATCAGATACGTGATACAGTGTCTAAATAGATTAAGGGTGTAGAGGATAAGAATAAGAAGAGATTGGGGTTTCTGGTGATGATGAGTAAGATTCATATTCATTAGTATAGATAAATGAAATTAAATAAATTATAATACTCTGTTTTTACTTTCAGTCAGTGCTCTTCCCTTGCTGTTGCTCTGTTTTAACCTCCCTGTTTCTGTGAGATCTTTTGTTTTGGTTAATGATTTAATTTTTTAATTCATCAAACACCATAAGAAAAAACAAAAATAAAGCCACAACAGAACAAATACTTCTTCTATGGGTCCTTCACATGGTAGCATTCCTTGTCTCACACGTGAATGAGAGTTGGCTTTCTCACTCGGCTGGACCTCAGCCACATGATCTGAAGCTGACATTGCGTCCTCTAAGACATTATTGTTGTTCTTCACCTCGCCTTTCTCAGGATCGAAACTGGAAACGCTCTTCTTGCTCACAGAGACCGTGCAACAAGGCTTGAGGACACAGGAGTAAACATAAGCAAATGATAGATTTATAAACTCTTATAAATGGGTGATAAGTTCTTGTACATGGTTTTATAAACACAGATAAGAGAATTATAAACACTTATAAATACCTTTATAAGGATCCACTTATGAATATTTGTAAGAATTTATATATTTTTATAAATGATTTATAAACTTTTCTAAATGAAAACTCTTATAAATTGTTTTATGAAGATTATTAAACTTTTTTAATATTTTGTATAAATCCTTATAAATAGATTTATAAACCTTGTAAATAGATTTATACTCTTATAAATGAGTGATAAATTCTTGTACATGGTTTTATAAACCCTTATAAATAATTTTATAAACCCTTATAAATAGTTTTCAAAACTTTATAAAATGATTTTAAACTTTCATATTTGATTGATCAACTCTTATAAAGCCATGAACATAAACGAAAAAGCTCTTATAAACCCTTACAAGATGATTTAAAGCATTGCAAAATCATTTATGAATTCTATAACTACACATACATTCATGATACATTTGGTTATAAAATTATTTGGTAAATAATTTCAAACACTGATAAGAGAATTATAAACACTTATAAAATACCTCTATAAGGATCCACTTATGAATTTTTTTAAGAATTTATATACTTTTATAAATGATTTATAAACTCTTTTAAATGAAAACTCTTATAAATTGTTTTATGAAGATTATTAAACTCTTTTAATATTTTGTATCAATCTTTATAAATAGATTTATAAACCTTATAAATAGATTTATAAACTCTTATAAATGGGTGATAAGTTCTTGTACATGGTTTTATAAACCCTTATAAATAGTTTTATAAACCCTTATAAATAGTTTATAAATATTTATAAGTCTTTTATCAACTTCTTAAACGGTTCATACAAGGTTTTATAAACTCTTATAAACACACGTAAATAGTTTTATTAATCATTATAGATGTTTTGTTCTTGCAAACACAAATAATCCATCGTAGAATATATAGATAAAATGAAAGATGGATCAAACACAAGCTATGTCTATAACTTTTAAGTGTTATTAAATTCAGCATACTATGATTCTTATTGTAGGAAAAAATTGCAGAGAAAATAAATCTATAGAAGAGGAAAAGAAAAGGCTGATGAGCAATGCTCCTAGTGTCACAGATGCACATACAATGAAAAACTCTGCAAAAGTGACGGAGAAAACGTTGGTCAGAAGATTAAAGGAGTTCAGGTACATGTTATGTTCTCATCTGATCCAAGAAAATTGCAGGTCGAATAAATGGAGGCTGCGGCTGCTCTAACGGCTAAATCCTTATCTGAGATTAGTGCATCTGCAGTTCATTATCATCAGTTCCTATGCAACTTTTACGGAGTTTATAACCATTTAAAAAGACTTATAAAACAATTTATAATGGTTTGTATAATACTTTGTAAGGGTTTATAATTAAGGGTATGTAAATAACTTATAAGAGTTTATAAAAATAACTTATAAAGTTTATACACCATTATAAAAGATTATAAAACAATTTATAAATCCTTATAAACTTGACCACAGTTGCAAAGCTGAACAACCACACCAGCTCTGACCAAGAACTCCTCCAAAGTCATCTCTCCCAACGTTTGTTGCCTCTGTGGAACTCCACTTGCTGCTCCAACATCTAGTTCACTCTATGTGATAAGAACTTTGTGTATCATTCTCTCTATTTCTATCTTATAATTCATTTATTGAGTCTATAGCCATTTCGCAAGGCTTATAAAATAATTTATAGTGGTTTGTAAAATAATTTGTAAGGGTTTATAAGGATATGTAAATATATAATTTGTAAGAGTTTATAAAAAAATTTTATAAAGTTTATACACATTATAAGGTTAATAAGAACCTATAAGAGTTTATAAGCCATTTATAAAGGTTTATAAGGGTTTTTAAAATGTTTATAAGGGTTTATAAGAATTTATAAAGGGTTTACAAACCATTTATATGTGTTTATAAAGATTTTATATAGAATCTATAAGGTTTTATAAATTAGTTATAAGGTTTTATAACTTTTCCGGTGAAGGGACTTCTGTGGCCTAGTTCCATCCGTGATGCGACGACGCTGAACACTGAAACGGAGTAGAGGGCCTGAACAACACGTTTAAAAGAAGTAGACGGCCTGATAAGAAATTTTTCTGATCATTTTCTCATTAAAAACAATAATAAAAGGAACAAAATAACTTTTCTTTATCTTTTTGGATACGTAACGATAATAAAATGGTCAGTCAAATTTCTCCCAATCTTGAGTTACATTAGCAGAAGGAGAAGCTGGAGGAGGAGTAGTCACAACAGCCGTCAATAACAATAACTAAAGCATTTTAATAGTGTCATCGATGCTTCACCCTACTTCTCCGGCTTTGTACATCTAAACCCTTAAATTATAAAGATTTATAAGAACTTCCAAACCCTTAAATTAGTTTATAAGCCTTTATAAATTAGTTTATAAACTCTTCTAAATTAACTTATAAACCTTTATGAATCATTTTATAAGCTTTTTATACATTAACTTAGTAATCTTATTAAATTAGTTTATAAACCTTTACAAATCAGTTTACAAACCTTATATAATGATTTTATAAACCCTTGTAAATTAGTTATAAGTTTTTATATAATGACGACTGTGAGGAAAACCCGTTTCAGGTGTTGCATGACGCAACCAATGACAATCGATTATTTATAAATGTTTTAATTCTCTTATAATTGTTTGTAAATTATATATAATTATTTAAAAAATTATTTTAGAACTTTATAAACCATTTTAGAACTTAATAAAATATATCTTATAAATTAATTATAAGGGCTAACTTATAAAGGTTCATAGAATCATTTATAAGGATTTAAAAAATTCATATAGGTCAATATTTCATAGCTTTATCTATAAGAGCTTATAAATATATTTTTAAAGTTTATATAAGAGTTTGATAAGGGTTTATAACAAAATTTATATGGATTTACAAAACTATTTAAAAAAAAAAATCAAATGCATCAGAAATATATGTGTAATTTTTAAATGATTTATAAATGTTTATAAATAATTTATAAATGTTTATAAATAATTTATAAATGATTTACAAATGTTTACAAATCCTTTATAAAAGTTTATAAATCATTTATAAGATCTAGTAAATTGATTATAAAGGTTTATATACCATTTTTAGATTTTGATAAACCATCTATAAGATTTTATAAATCATTTAAGGGTTAACTAAATTATTTATAAGGGTTAATAAAATCATTTGTATGAATTTCAAATCATATTAAAACATTACTCATAAATCCCCTTTATTTATAAGAGTTTACAAAATATTATAAGGGTTTATAAATCAATTTATATAAGAGTTTATAAATCATTTTGTAAGAGTTTATATATTATTTTAAGAGTTGTAAGAGTTTATAAGAAAAAATATAAGGGCATACAAAACCATTCAATTGGTTAAAATCATTTTTTAATAGCATCATGGATACATTTTCTTCATTCGTGGGGGGTTTGAGATAAGGCATCCTCCTCCTGTGTGGATACATTCAGAGCCGCTTCAACCGTATGAAGCTATGGAGGCTGACAGTTCCACGGAGGAGGAAGAGGGTGTTGAGAGAAACGAGTGTGTATGGGAGATGCTTGGTGTTTTGTTCTTGGGTGCAGTGTGTGGAGCGTTGGGAGCAATGTTGGCTTTGTGTCTCTGGACAATATGTGGTGTGAGGCGGTCAGTAGTGGTGGTTCAGTACCTGGCAAATAAATATCACAAGAAAATGTTTAGCAAAGTTTATAGACTAATGCAAACAGTTAATAAAAGCTTTTACCAAATCCATGGAGTTTTTATCAAGAAACTCGAAAGCAGACAGTATCTCTCCAAGATTTCTCTTAGCTTCAACAAGAAGTTTCTGAAAAAGGGAAAAAACATAACAAGATACAGTTCATCTCCTCCAGTAAACAGAATCCGATTACAGAAGTAAAGAAGAATTGTGTTGAACCTGGCAGCTGAGAAAATCTTTGCAAGCGATAAAGGCTAAATCTGATCCAAGCTCTCTACCTCTCTTAACCGCCTTGTCACAATCCTCTATACACTCTTTGTACTGAAACCAATCAACTAAACGACATTGATTATTATTCCTTAACCCTAACTGATAAAAAAGATTAATACCTTTTCCATTTGAAGATAAAACTTCAGTACNTGGCAGCTGAGAAAATCTTTGCAAGCGATAAAGGCTAAATCTGATCCAAGCTCTCTACCTCTCTTAACCGCCTTGTCACAATCCTCTATACACTCTTTGTACTGAAACCAATCAACTAAACGACATTGATTATTATTCCTTAACCCTAACTGATAAAAAAGATTAATACCTTTTCCATTTGAAGATAAAACTTCAGTACTATGTAGAACACTCAGGTTAAACCTGCTGCATACAAAACCTGCTGCTCCATCTCTTGAACCGACAAAACTTCAGTACTATGTAGAACACTCAGGTTAAACCAATTGCTCCAAACCGCATCACAAGCATCACAGTAAGGATTTCTACCACAAAACTGAGACAATTCAACATCGATGCAATCCATCCCTTGGGGGTAGCTCGAATTTTTACAGAGATAACATCTCAAACTTCTCCCTGAAGCTCCTTCTGCAGCAAAATAATACTTGTTATCCCTAAGGAAAACAATCTGGTTCTGTATCTCCACGACCACTGAGGCATAAGCACAGTTTGAATCTGTTTTGTGAGAATCTGCTACCAAGACTTCAGATAGATCACACGAGCACCCACTGTCGTGTTCCCATGTATCTTTGAAGCTGAAATTCTCTTTATAACCTGCAAGTACTTTCTTCCAGCTTAACAAGCTTGTGTTTTCCTTTCTTCTTGCTAGCAGGCGACTCATAAGTAGCCATCCTCCATTCTTCACCCATGTGCTAAAGTTGATAAAGTTTCTTGCATGTTGAGGTGTTGTAAACTTGATTTTCCTACTCTTCACCAACAACTTCACAGGTCTCAAGGAGTATGTATGCTTGTACTTGAACTTCCAATCCTTTTGACACATCATCTGTTTCTTCTTACTACACTCCTTTAAAGATAAAACCATTTGTGGCCTCCCAAGTCCTTCCCTTGACCTCATAGCAACTGCATTTACCACNCATGTTGAGGTGTTGTAAACTTGATTTTCCTACTCTTCACCAACAACTTCACAGGTCTCAAGGAGTATGTATGCTTGTACTTGAACTTCCAATCCTTTTGACACATCATCTGTTTCTTCTTACTACACTCCTTTAAAGATAAAACCATTTGTGGCCTCCCAAGTCCTTCCCTTGACCTCATAGCAACTGCATTTACCACCTGATCTTGCCCCACATAACTTTTCTGAAACCCATCAGCAAAAGCTCTGAACCTTTCATTCTTCTTGTGCTTATACTTCCAAGTTCTTAAAAACTTCTTTCTTCCATTGTCTTTCAGTTGGCTATTTCTACCAAGAATGGTATCATCCCAGTGTGTTAAAGATTGTATATTATGTCTGCTTCTCCAACCATCATGTGGACACAAGTACTCCACTAAGCCAACGTTGACACCCACAAATGAATGGTTGGATTTGTTGGACTCTCTTACTCTGCACGTGTAACAACCATCTTGTGGAATGACTCTCACCTGACTCATGGGTTTATATTTGAACATCCACGACTTAGGAGCTACAATCTGTTTCTTCTTTTGATGTAGCTTGTGTCTTCTCAGAAACAATTGATCAAACACATGGTGAGCAAGAGATTTATCCTTAACATCTGTCGATTTATAAGATATCTTTTCCATCTGATGATGTGGGATAGACATCCTCCAAAGATCACAATCATCAACCAAATGTAGATACCACTCCAACAGATTTCATCACTCTCTGATCCTTCACGTAAGAATTGAGATTACCACTAGGATTCTTCTGAATCTCCTCCATCATCTTCACGTAATCAGGCTGTTTTAGAAAGCCACTCGTCGTAGGATCAGAGACAAGCTTCGTCCACATCTCTTTACCTTTTAAAGAACTATGAATACGATTCAATCTTGAAGCTCGAGCATCGGCTACTCCTGATCTCAACGCCTCGTTGCTTGGATCTCCGGAGCTCCGATCATTTTCGATCCTAATCTCGTCCTCCATAGCTTCGCGATATGGCCGGTGATATCATCGGACGAGATTTGGAGAAAAAAAATATAGGTTTGATAATTGAATTGTGGAGGGGTAGAATGGTATTTTGCATATCAAATTTTTAGTGGTAAAATTGGTTAAGGTAAAAATGAAATATGGTACTTTGAAAGTGGTAGATTAGGCAAATTCCCAAAAAATAAGGGATACTTTAAAACTTTGATTAGATTTTTTTTTTTGACAAACTTTTTTTATCAAAATAGGCCTCAGAGAACTTTGATTAGATTTTGAGTAAGGTACCTATTAACATATCATTAACGAGTTTTGACAATCGTCTGTTAGAAAACCTAAACAAGAATCTGGGTGGGTAAGTACATGTGTGTCCATTTATTACACGTTCATGCTTCACTTGATTGAATATTTTAGTCCCAAAGTACAATTATTACTTTTCACAGTGGCTACTGACAATAGCAGATTTTTTGTTTTTTGAAGGTAACAAATGGTCTGAAGCATTCATGTGATTCTTTGTGTGCGTATGTTCTCTAACTATTTTGTCAATTTCGCTATCTTTAACAACCAGAATCTCCAATAATTCACGTATAAAGAAAGCCTGGAAATAGTTACAAAGGTAATCTAATCTACACGTGTAGTCGTCTATCTCCTTTGAATGTTTTCGCTAGTCACGCTCGCTTGGCAACAAAATAAGTTTTTAGATATCTAATTTCATTTACATTTATATCGACGGTCATGGTGTTTTCTTTGCTGTAAGAAAAAGTATAATGTTGGAAGAAAATATGATCCGTAACTATCATGGAAGGTACATACAATCTTTGAGTGGGGGACTCTGCCAAAAGAAAGAAAACGAAAGAGAGAGTACCGAAGGAAGTAATGAAGGCAAATGCATAAAAGGAAAACAAAAATCAAATTTGTATTTCTATCTTCTGCAATCACATGACAAAACAGCAAACCCTACATCATTTTCTTTTGTAAATATTCAGGTAATATTCCAAAGCTTCATCATTCCAATTTACAATTCTAGGACTAGAAAGTTAATACAAACGGTTAATAATAATACATACAATTCAACGTAGATTGTCATGTAATCTCGTGGATAATATAACAAATACTTTATAGAGAAACTGAAACGCACACGCACACGCACACTCACACACAAACAATGTCACTGGCAAAAAGCACAAGATAGTTTTCACTTCACTTCAAATCAAATATACATGTCAGATGCTTTTAAGATGAATCTATTCGTCAATTGAAAAATAAAAATCACAATCAAATTCTCTCTGATTCAGCTTCTTGTTTCATGACCTCATCTTCTTTCCTTTGCACATTTAGAAACCGAAAAACTGGAAAATGTAACATAATTAATGATCAAGAATATAAACAATAATGTGAGAAGTGAAATGATAGATTTTAATTTTTTTTTGTAGCCTTACCAGCTTCTTCTTCTTTTTCTTTTTCTCAATGTATGCCAAAATCTCCTTCTGACTCACAAGGGCTTCCTCCAAAGCCTAAACCCAAAAGGTACTCAAGTTAAACCACTGATTAATAGGTTAACATCAGGGTTTGGTTATTATAATTTAGATTTTGCCTTACCTTTTTGGTCTCGGTCAATTCTTGCTCAAGGACTTGTACACGGTTAAGCGCAGCTTGAAGTTTCTCCTCCTTTTCAGAATCGACATTAGCCGGTTTCAAATCAAGGAACATGCACTTGTCTTCCAGTTCAGCCATGCGTTTCACCATCAACATATACTCAGCGCTAGAGACTGGTGCTGCAAATTGAGCTTTATTTTGCTTAGACATAGATTCCTCATAACAAACTGAGTTTCCATATAATGCAGCCTCGGTGAGTTTGCGTGGAACGTCTTTAGATAGCCTAACCATTGCAACGATTCCCATCACAAAGGCCATGACCCCTCCCACAAGAAATCCATCCCTTTTCTTTGGTGCCCCCTTCCTCACGTAAGACTCCAGCCCTACATAAACTTTAATTAGTGCGTGTAGAAGAAACGACTTTTTTCCTTCAATTTAAGCTAAGTATAAGAGGATGTATACCTTTAGAGACATTAAAACTTTGGGATTTCTGAATTTTTGTAGACCATGCCGTGTCCATGGACTTGTCAATGGTTGCAATTTGCTTCTCATGCGCATTGTCTTCATCCCTTTTCTTATTGTTTCTCTCAAAACTCTGTGGCGTTAATGGAGAATCTCAGTATAAGCTTACCCTAGAGTATTATTTTAGCTAATTATTGTTGTTCTGTAACTTACTTCCAGAAGTGCTGAAGTTGATCTTTCTTGGTCAACATGATTGTGTTCATCTTCTGAAATTGGTGTGCATTTTGCTTCCCGGTTTATAGCCATCTGCTTCCATTTTAAAATATGTTTTTGTAAATATATTTTGATTTTGGAAGTTACATAAATCTCGATGTAACGGTAAAATAACACATTTGTTGGATTATTTAGGATTTAAAAAACTGCTTTTACAAGATAACAAAAGTTTCATAAAGGTAAAACGAGTATCGAGTTCTTAGGATGTATAAATACGAGTCTAAAGAGCTGCAAATTATTCATTAAAACAAGTAACTCGAGTTTTGTTCTCTAAACTATTTTGCTGATTAGTCGTTGTTGTCGGATTCAAGAACATAGTTTAACTGAATTTATTTAGTGTCTAACTAAGGGCTATGCATGTAAATTGTTAGTTACCTTGAGAACCTCAGGGTCATTCCATGGACCTTTGTCAGAGCGCATGCAACCTCCTTTGTCTACACAAGTGCAAGTGCCTCCAAAGAACTCTGGCAACTCACTTTTTACAAATACAAAAAGAAAATCTAATGAATATTCAAGTAGCAATTAAAGCAGTACTTATTTTTAATGGGTCCAGAGAAGCATGATCTTACCTAGCATCGATGACTTCAAGCAGTTTGCTGTGATATTTGTTCCCAAGAACATGAATCTTTGCCGTAGTCTTGGGATCAAGGAACGACTTGACTGTGCTCCACAATAGCCGGAACCCGGAACCCGCATTGATGATGAACATCCGGTTCAACGTCTACAAAGATATCCAGAACTCAACCATTTAAGACCTTGATTTGTTTACGACGTTTCTTATTCTTTTTACAAGAATATATATGTTTACCAAATGTTTTAGGTTTTTTTTTTTTTGGTAAAAAATATTACAAGTTTTTAATTGTGAAACTCTTTTTCTATTTTTTTTGTGCCCCATATATCGACTAATCATGTCAACTCGGTAAAAATGTACTTATGATCCAGTGTGAATTTCTTTTCGAAATTCCACCACACTATATGATCCAAGTTTAAATTGGTTTACGGTATTTTTGTTCACATACGTATATGTTAGCGTTTAAAACAGTTGATGTATAGTTAGATGAATGGTTTTGGAAAGATGAGATATTGGTGACAGAGATCACAGTCTATACCTCAGGATAATTTTCATTGTCAATCTTGCAAAGTCTTTGAAGAAGCTCTCTCGCGGACTTGCTGAAGTTCTTGAGACCCTAATCACTCGGAACAACACACACATTAAGACAAATAGAAAAACTTACCCTTTTGTATTTATCATATACATACCACGCCTTGAACGTCAAGGATAGTTGTGCTCTGATCAATGTGCTTATGGGCCGCAACAGAACAAGCAGGGAACTTAATCTTAAAAGTCTTCTCAAACTCTTTGACATGATACTTTACGTAACGGTCCATTGTTGTCACTTGAAGCAGCTTGTTAGCATCGATTTGACCTAATCTCTCAATGTAAACCGGCCTGCCTTCCTTGTCTACTCCATGATAGCCTTGAGGGTAATGCTTCATGACATCATCGATCTCTTCGAACTCAAAATCCTTCATCATAATTAGAAACATATATTATAGATTTTTTTGTAACCGATATACATTTTAGCACTTGTTTGCTGATCACATGAGATGAGAGTTGGTAAAAAAACTCCCTAGATTTTAGCAAAGGGACTCACCTCGATGATTGTGTCAGCGCCAAAGTCTTTCCTCCATTGAATCATGTCACTCCACATTTGCTTAGCTTTCTCAATGTCAAACTTCCTTGCCCTCAGGAATCTGTTTTATGGTCAATATAAAAGTTCAAATATTTTGGAGTAAATTCCAGGTTTTTGATTATGACAACAAGATCACATAAGATGGATGAACCACTATCATTTTTTTATTTTGTAAAATAGAGGACTTACTGACTCTTATTTTCATTTTGTTAACTGATTTGAAGGCTCGTTCGTAAGGTATTAAAGATTTTATTTTGATTAAAATATAAGAAATCTAAAGTCTTAATTAACTGGGAGCATTTTAGACCAACTCTCATCGTGTTGACACGATCATCGAGGTGAATCTAATGTTATTACCTAATAATTTAGGTCTAGAATGCAAGATTACACACGTAATTGGTTAGAAAGTAGGAGGTACTGAATGGTAATAGAAATAAAAAATTGTGTACCGAAGCATCATATGGAGATCATCGAGTTTGGAGGGTAAGAGCTCGTCAAGAACAAGAGCTTGACGAAAAGCATCAAGAGCTTGAAGATCTTCTGCATCGATGTCATCCTCAATAGGTACGGACATGACTCTGCTGGTGCTTCTTCGACCCTTTTTCTTGAATGAGTTCTTGAATCTGTTCGATGCGTTTATGGCTTTCTTCTTCAGTGAACACATCTTTACTATCTTCCTCTCCTCCTCCGACATCTCTATTTCTGATATTACGACATTCAGTTTCCATTAGTCTTAAGAAAGAGTTACATGCATTATGGCATAACATGAAATCATGACTAACCAGGTTTGGTCTCGGCCATGGATAGATGGGGTTTAAAGCACTCTGTTGCACACGGCAATTTATTACCTACCAAGAAAATATTTTCAAGTTCATTTAAAAATAATTGTGAAATGGATTCAAAGAATCAAGATAAGTTATAAACCAAAATGTGTTTTAAGATCCAAGAGATGAGAAAGCTAAAGACATGAATTGAGAGAGATTTTTTACCTTATTGGAGAAGAGTGTTTGAGGAGGGGTGAGGGAGGTTGAAGATAATGGAGAGGCTCATTTGAAACTAGTTCATAACATGGAGACAACTCTTTTGGTTCTGATTCTATCAACCTATATATTGACATGGTCTTAGGCTTTTTTGGAATATCTATATATTTTAAAGAAAAAATCTACCTCTTTTAAGAAAATAAATTATAGAGTTTTAAACTATGAGCAACCAATCGTTTATAAGTAAATAAAATAAAATATGAAAGACAAAAATAAGCAGTGACAAGAAACGCAAAAATAAGTAAAAAACTTGAATATGATAAATAAGAGAAAGCGATGCTAAAAAGGATAAATAAGAGAAAGCGTGTCTTTGTAGGCGAAGTGCAACCCACTACTTCAACATTTTCTCAATGTTAAAAAAGATTTTGATGTCAACCAAAGTATCTCATGATATTGTATTGTATTTTATTTTATTTTTAGTGGTCTATTGTAAGCTTGTAAGATTATTATCGAATTAAATACACAAAGTGAATTTGGTTTACTTAAGGCTAACAAAGACTCTTATTATTTTAAATAAATAACGGAAAATATAAAGTTTCATATTTGTAAATAATATATCCCATGACCAGGTGACGGTGCTGAGATGCATGATTGTTAATTTGGTCTATTGTACAACAAGCCAAAAAAATCGATCTAATGATAACTTGATAAGTGATGACAACAAACATTCTAAAATATTAATTATTCGTTGCAAATTAATATACCATTTCAAAATTAGTATTGTAATCGCTTACGGCTTATCCATGTTCATTCATACAAACAATTTGAATCCAAAATATGTACTCTCTCTATATCTTTGTATATGATGTTTTATGTTAGTACACGAAGATTAATAAATTTACATGCTCGCAAAAAAAATATTTTTAAAAATATAATTTTAAAATCATTTAACCAATTATAAAAAAACTGTAAACGACCTATTCCAATCAAATTAAAATTAAGTTTAAAATTTCGGATAAACGACATATTTACACACCATAACTATTGTATAGTAATAGATTAACACGAAGTTTGAACCTCATTCCAATTACACACAATTAAACTATATCAATCTATTGCTCCTTGAAACAAAAAATTGAAACTCGCTTCCACACAGACGAAGATTAAGCTTAGTTTTAATGGTTTATAACGTTAACCGATATTAAACCCAATGGTTTCAGGTGATACTGGTACAACCTGACCCAGAAGAAACGATTATAACCTGACCCGAATCTCTATTAATTTTCCCCAAATGATTTATCTTTTTTGTAACCCTAAAATCTTAAAAAAAAAAAACAAACCAAGAGAGAAATCCATAAAAGATGAGTAATGAATCTAGAAATACGATTGAAACCACTGGTCGGGTCGTAATAGGTTTACTTAAGTTCGCCACTGGTTCAGTTTTAAAACAAAGAATACTAAACCTACTTTAAATCGGCATTTGTTTGTATTGGTTCGTTCTTCAAACTTTAGGGGAAATTGGATTTCGATCTTTCGTTTTAGGGAGAAATATATTAATATAGTTTAATTGTGTGCAATTAGAATGAAGTCCAAAGTTCGTATGGATTTGTTACTATACGATGGTTATGGTGGGGAAATAGGTCGTTAACCCTAAAATTTCAAAACGTACATTCAAATCTCAAAACATCTTATATTTTGAAACATCATAACCCTTCTAAAACATCATATAAAAAGAGCGGAGGGAGTACAACAACAACAACAACAATAATAATAATAATAATAATAATAATAATAATAATAATAATAATAATAATAATAATAATAATAATAATAGTATTCTTCTTAGCAATAAACGGGCCTAAGCTTAGTCTATTTGAGGCCCAACTTTGATATAGAGACTAGCCATTTGTATCTTCTTTGAAATCTTGTTAGTTTCAGTGGCTGATCTTTGACTCTTTCGAATTTTACTTCCCTATGTTCTTAGGCTATGATCCTCACAAGAAAATAGATAATCCCTAAAAACAATGTTTGTAGTAAGATGTTAAAATTTTATAGCAATTATAATTTTTGACAGAAGATAAAAAAAAACTAGAGAACCAAAAACACGATTCTTGTATAATTTATCATCAAACGTTTTCATGTGATGCTTGTGAACAATTACAAATTAGGTTTTAAATGATTAGCACATATACTTTTTATTTATACTCGAAATTGAATAATGTATCCATATTAGCCAATTAAAATTTTAAACTTAAATCAATGTTTCATCACATTATGCGCTGCCTGCATCTAATACACAAAATACTATATATACTCTGATACTACATAATGGGCAGAAAATCTTGAATCAGTTTAGGGACATTAGTAGACAGCAACTCTAAGTTGCTCTCTCTTCTGATGAAAATAATATGAATTTGATCCTCCCCGTTTAGAAAATGAGTTGTAGATTGTTCTTAATCAAACACCTAGACTGCTATACAGATTCTGCACATCAGGTTCCCACATGAAAGGAGCTTGACCGTTCTGTAACATGATGAAACATATTTATACCAAAAAGATTATTAGCAAACCAAAAGTACCAAGATTGCTCATAATGGAAGAGATGAAAACATAACTTACGTTAAAACATGGCAGTGGTGGATTAGAACTGGTAACCCCTTGCTGCATTAGATTGATATGAAAATAATCGGAATTAACCATTTCATGAGGATAAACGAAGTTAACCATCTCATGAGATGGCATCACATTGCTTGGTAAGTTCGCCATTGGAGCTGAGAGAACCTCTTTGGCAAAAATGTCATCGATATCTAGATCCAACCTTGGACTCACAGCTGCTAATTTTATCGATAAGAACTGTTACAGACAATATCAGATATTAGAATACAAACTAAAGAAGCTCATATTCTTAAAAATAAATAAATAAAAGATGTGTTTAAAACTTATAAATTTTAAGACCTCGACTTGTCTCTGAAGAGAGAGAACATAATTAATGATCTCATCAAGTGTCCCTGCTTTGCTTGTGATCTTGTCGCATCCAGAAACTAAAGCTTGAAGATACTTCATTCTCTCACTGATCTTTTCTCTTCTAGCCTTCACATTCTAATAATAATAATAATAATCAAATAATTAGTCTCAAAGATATAAAATATAATTGAAGTTAATTAAAGAGTTTCTCTCACTCGTTCTGCAATGTTGTGGCTATCAGTGGCTTGGCCTCTCCGTGCACGAACATGAATATAATCTTTTCTCTGCGACTCCTTGGTCACTTCTGATGAATCGTTAGAGCTATTGTTTTCTTCTTCTTTTGCTTTATTCTTCATATTCATGATGTTTTTATGGGGTTTTTGAAAATTTAACTCAAAACTCATGGTCAAACACAAAACTAACTTCTTCTTTTATCTCATCTTGTTTTTGTCCAATCCACCCCATATCTTCATTTTACGAAAATGCCATTAAATTTTTTTTTTTACTTTTTTTCGAAAATGGCCTTTTTACTCTCTCAACCTCATCATCTTCAAGTATTTACAACATTGCCATTGCCATGAATACTCCCAACAACCTTGTACAACCAAGGTTTGAAGCTTTTAATGCACTTAAAATCGATACTCATACTCTCTTTCTCAATTGTTATGAACTAAAAACAACATCTCCTTCACTTTGTCTCCATATTCATGCCAAAAACCCAAGCTTTTGATAGCAAATTTTTTATGGTTGATAGAGCCATTTAAGCATA